AGCCTAATCATATAAATTAAAGGCCCATGAAAATGTGTATTAGGTGTATTGAAAAGTCTGAAATGTTTTTCGTTACCTTCATAAGTTATATATTAAATAAAGTCAATATTTTAAGTAACTGATGTTATAAACAAAACAGGAAATTTAGATCTATGCAGCCTTAGACTGTGCATATATTGATTATAATTTTTTGAGCTTCAACGTCAATTAATATCGTGTTTTAAAATATCCCCAAAGACTATCCAAATATCAAAGTAGATTTAATTATCCATGGGGAGATTATATTCTGAAATAAAAGTAAATAATATAACCTGTTAAATGAGAATTCCCATGAGTCAACTACAAGTGCTTTTTATTGTCCGTCGTTGAAATTTTTTGCTCGCATGATAGTTAAAAAGACAGTTTTTAACTAACAAAACTACCTACTAATAACTATATTTAACCTGATTCCCATACATATTTAGTTACTAATATGTAGATTTTTAAATTTACATAAACCCGTTTACGCTGCAGTTAAATTTTCTTGACTGCACAAGTTTCTAAACTCGTTTAAATTCCTGTAAGTGAGTAAACTGATCCATCGATATGTCAATCTTATACATAAGCTGAAACATACGTTTACCTTTTTTGCTGTTAAACGTTTAGTTTGCACTATAATCCTAACACTTTAAGAAAAACAATAAATAGGTAAAACAGTACAATATGAATAAATGGTATTTTTCGGGTTATGATGCGCTACAACATAGATGGTAGTAAATGGAATTTTCAAATTTCCTAATTTAAATAAATGCACACATTAGTTTATCACAGTTATCTTGCAGGTCATGTTTTTTCTTCTTATAAAATTATAATTCGTTTAATAACAAACAATATTCAATAGAAGATTGAGAATAATTCTATATTAAAAAACCTTCACAAGGATATCTTTAGATCACTGAAAAGTCCCTCACTGATCTCACTAAATCTTCCTCCTTGGGGGTTTTCTTTCAATCACTCTCTCAGATGATTTCAGCTGGTTTACTTTCTGATGAATACAATAAAGATACACTTTGTCTAAAGCTATGACAAGTGCTGCACAAATTTTTGCTATTCATTTAGTTACTGACAATTTTTACAGTTTGATAAAACAAATACATTTTATAGGCCTATTATTATAAACAATTGCGCCTGCTTTACTTGAGTATTTTTTTAGACTTGGAGTGGATAAAAAAGTCTTAAATTATTGGAAAATTGAGTTTAATTACACATAAGTGATTAGGATTCACGTAAATAATAAACTTCAGTTGAAGTCACGGAAAATACGTACTTAACGCAAGAGTTGCTGCTTAAAGAAGGGTAAATGGTTACAAAATAATTTTGGTCTGTCAAAGACTTGACGTTAAGTTTTAAAAGCATATTTTGTAATTTCTTACATTTCTAACGAATTTTTTTTTGTTATATTCATAAACAAAGCAAATATATTTACGGGATTTTCAAACAGCCTTTTTAAACTTTAAGAACAATACAAAAGGAAAACTTCAATCCGCTTAGTGTACATGAAGGCTTCAAGGATCACTGTAATTCTTCCTCTGAGCATGTAGAATCCTCTTATATTACAGAGTTATATTGAACATTGACAAAAAACCTCAATCCCCCATTTCTACAAATATTCAATGTGTCATATATTTAGAAGTGATTTTATTGTAAGTGTAAATGAGAGTATTACACATGTTCCTCTTTACCTACCATCAAAATCTTTGGCAAGATTTATGAAACATGTATGTACATATTTTGCAAAACAATATTGATTATTTCATTTTTGAATGAGCCAACAAACTGAATTATGTACCCAAACAAGCCTTTATACTATTCTTAGTAAACTGTTAATATGTTGACAATCTGTCAGTCGATTGATTACCCAAGACACAATCATCTGATTAACTCAACCCCCATGCCACGAGAGACTGGCCCCATGTTAGAATTGTGGTTCTAAAATGTTACATAAAGCTGAAAACACTTGGTTTAGTTTTAAAATTATAGGTTATATTCAAAATGCATACAAAAAAGAATTATATTTCTGCTAGATATTCTTTTGAGTAATTTTCAAAGTAAAAATTGACCATTAGGCTATAGTATTTAATTTTAAATGCATAATAACATGCACTTAATATACTGTCTACCGTTACACAATTAAATATCTTTTACGTGCAAAAATATGACACGCATATTGTGTTAGACAATTTAAAAACTGAATTACAGTCACTGTTATAGAAGCCAGGGATGCATTTGCTGAGTAGTTTGAGCTTGATAAAATAACAATCCTTTTAATCCTTCAATTAGTGATGAGTTCTGTTTGTTTATAGTCACACGGGATCCCTGGGTTTTGTTGATTCAATCAGTGAACACACATGCTTTCTGCACTAACAAATATCATTGATTCATATTGTTCGTTAACCAATTTGTAAATAATTCTGTCATTTCCAAGTGAAATCACTGCAATTTTGCTGATTGTACTATATTCTACTCAATGAAAACCGTTCGGAGTCGTACATTAATTGTATATATATAGATATATATATATATAATATGTGATATATATATAATATATATATATAATATATATAATATATATATTATATATCATATATATTATATATATGATATATTATATATATTATATATATATTTTTTTTATATATTATATTGAATTCCGTGTAAAATAACCAAACCATTGAAATATTTGTTTTTGATTTTTTGAAAGATACGTCACCTAAATATTTGATTATGAGTCCGGACGTTTTACTTACTTTAAAACGTTAGGTACGTTTTAGGGTACTTACTTTGATGTTTTGGAGCTAGATAGTTAATATTTAGCAAGTTGGATGGTTAAATATTGGATAGTTACCATTCCGCAATCCAAATATCTAAAAGTTTCATTGCAGAAATTAACCCAATGGGAAGACGAATGAGGGTTTACTTTGTAATGGGTTTTTACTAGGAATATAAGTTAGATACTTCAAAAAAGAATTAAATATTCTCATTGAGAAATCTACTGCACAAACGTAACATAAAAATATAACGATTACTTTTAAATGTGTCAAATAAATCAAATTGTTGTATTTTACTTTTATTTAAAAGTATACTTGAAGGAAAGTTTTTTAGCATACAGATTAAAAGTAAACAATCACCAAATATTAATCTAATAATATTACCCGGTAGTGTGGATTAAATCCAGTGATTCGCCAAAACTAAAATAATTTGTCTAATAGTGAGTTTTTGTAATCCCATTGCTTGATATCGATATCTATAATTTTTTGCACATCTATCATATGTCATCGTTTAAGCTTTAATAATCATAATTAGTCATTAATTCAAATACAATAAACACTTTACTTTTTTACACTCAGTACATTTTATGGAGTTGCAAGCGTAGTTCAGTCAGCCACTGCTTTGTTGTTGAATTCCAAAAGCTTAACGGACATCCCTTGATCTAGCAATCTCTGACTGTTCAGTTTAAACTGGAACTCAATCGGTCAACTACAACAAGTTCTGAGCGCCTTTGTACTAAGCCCGATTACGATTTCATACAGTATACAAACAATAGATTGAGTTTTAGAACCAATAGTAAAAATATTTAGATAGAACTTCGAGTAAAAAGTGTAGAAAAAAACGAATTACTTACTATAATACAAAACTTAGACACGTTGTGTTTGCTTTCACAAAGAAACAACTAAGTTTTTAATTAAATAAACTAGAATTGACAGTTGGCCATGTGATAAGTTAATACTGTATGTATTTCCTTTAGAGAACCTTTGTTATATTAGACTGCCGAGCAGTAAGAGCGTTAACATTTTTTTTTTTACCAGAATAAACAGCTCTATATTGGACGACGCGGCATAGGTTTGGGGTGTAACAAATTTGTAGGGTATATAATAACTGGCCGCTTTACAGAGTGTAATAAAAATACGAGTACACAATATTTACAGCAATATATACCTCCAATACTGTATCTTTCGTTAAATAACAATGAAAATCCAATTTCTAAAGGTTCTGGTAGAAGAGTTTGTCAGACTACGATCCTCATAAAAGAAACGTTGCTATTTTTTGTCATCGGCGTTGCACACATTGGACCTGGAAATTGAATTAGTTTCAGCAAGAACCAATCAAGAGTGTCCTTTCCCTTTGAGAGACCAAACCAATATACTAAGAATGTAAAGAGAACTCAAGAAAGGAATTTTTCTTACAACGTGTAGACCTCAATTCAGTTTCGTTGCCAACTGCAATCCCCACTGTGGAGTCAACGACCGGATTTAATCTTTTACTGTTTTTTCGTAATATTCACAAATATTAATTTGCTACAAATATTTTCCTGAATTTCTGTTTTATAGTTGTATTGTTTATCATTAGGGTTTAGTTCATTAAGGTGCAATTTTTCATGGCGGGTTTACAACCTAGCCATCGCAAAGACTAGCTGTTTCGCAAAGATCTCTTTAAATCAGCTCAGTGTACGCACTTGATAGCTGCTATTAAACATGCTATGGAAAACGATTACTTCACAACTGGTAACTTTGGACTCCATTCACCGGTTTTTGAGTGAACTATATAGTAAAATCTTCATTCGTAGGCTCAAGTGGCCAGTGGAATCACTACATCTTAGTCTTCCGGAGCCACGTAAAGTATTAATATTGACATTGAATAACAGAAGAACTCTAAATGTAAAGTATAAATACGAATTTGTCACGACCCTCACCGGAAGATAAAGTATGTAGAGAGTAAAATTATCTGCGTACTTGCAGTTGCTTGTACATATACGATAAGTACGACCTCAATGATGTTGGATTAATTGGTTTATTCTAATCTAATAAAATAGTGGAATTTGTATTTGTCGTACTTACCGAAATTCCTGTTACTTTACTCGCTGTCATCAGAACTCATCTTTTCTAAGCCTTTAGAAAACACCATTCTACTTTGACCTATATGCTGATTAGCTGTCCTTACCTCTCTGTTACCTTCTGTTACAGAAGTGTGTGACTCCCGGGCTGCAGGACTGACGGCCATCCTGGAGGCAGCAGTGGCGACTCCTCCCAGGGCCATCCTCGGGTCCGTGGACCCCGGGCTCTGCCCCCTGCTGGAGGCGGTAGCCGCCCTACGCCACACCCCGGTCGTCACCTGGTCCTGTCCCCAGGTCAGTCAGAAGTTCTAGAGTTTGGCGAGTAAGTTGCCATTACAGATTATGAAAAATAGAGTTATCATAATGGATGCTGTTTTATTAACGTTGGGAAAACGTCTCAGCTATACATTTTCTCTACTTCTCTGTCGTAGGAAACTTGATTGCAAAATTGTAGTACTTGGCTATTTCAATATATTTAAAATACTACGTGAACTCCCTAACTAGAGTATAAACGACCTAAATAAATTAAAGAAATGGTAAATACTAGTTCAAATAATATAAGCCCAACGTTTTACAAAAACATCGTTCATAATACAACCACAACAAGTTAATAACAATCATCAAAATGTGTTGATATATTATTAAAAGATTTGTGAGTTAAAATATATTGTAGCTATTCTATGCATAGCAGCACCAATTAAGCCCATATTTCAATAATTATTCATTTTGGACAAACTGTGTGGAAAGTGTTATGATGAAAATTAAATTAGTTAGTTATGGAACTTGTATCTAAAATATTGCTAACAGCCAAGCGACTTAGGCTTGCCACAAAATTAATGCATTTAAATACGATGTACATACATATTTTTATTTGAAATATTACTATTTTTTTTCAATATCCGATCACTGATGCGTGATATATTTGGCCATTTTAATATATTTACCCTACCTGTATGAAACTAAAACTACATTAAAAATAACAAATCAGCAATGGTATATGATACTAAAGAAATGTTTATATTGCAGTGGTTGTACGTGTAAAACGCTTAAAAAAATAGGAACTACTTACCATATTACATATTAGTGAGGAATTCTTACTATAAAGTAACAAGGAAAGTTGTAAACCAGCACATGGCCAGCATTCTACGCTTGAGTGTCAGGATGGTCTTATGATCTCATGTTTACGAGTCATGTCATATTTTATTTCACATATGTTTGAATTTACTATTTCTTTCGGTTGTTAGAGCGTAATTTTGATTTGACAAATACTACAAGATTAATTAGTTTGAAAATAGCTTTCAGCAAAATTACCCTTTTATATTATCTACCATATTGGATGGTTACACTATATTCATTTATTGTTAGATACGTCAAAAATATAACACAGCAATTATATAAATATCTTAAATTATGTTATTCATGAAGTACGAGTACCAATAAAGTGCATACTTTTGAGCGTTTAAAGAATTGAGGTTAAATTTGAGTTTAATAATCTGTAAAGATCTAATTCTAGGGGGAAATTAACCAAGAGAGCTATTAGGTTTATAAGTTTACCATCACCACTAACTAAGCCTTTAATTAATTGGATCATTACAGCCGTAACTTTGGCTGAACACTTAAGGCTAATACTATTTAGAATTAGTTGACTGGGACGGATGGCGTCGTCCTGTAATCCAGCTACTAGGAGGTCACGAATTGTGGATATTTATAGGCATGCACTGTGGATGCGATACTCCCTGGTGTGGATTAACGTCCGCACGAGTGAGTTATACGACTATCCGCAGTACTATCCTGATAATTAGACCAATTCGTATGTACCATGGCAAAAAGTGGTTCGGATTCCACTATAAACTGTAGGTCCCTTAGTTGCCATTAGCTGTATGGGTTATTAATTAACAGCTGTGTCTAAGGATTATGTCGGCCTTAGTCACTAACAAGACTACAAGATCGCGCCACTCATCCCACACACATCCCCATTCATACTTGGCTTAAAATACCTACATTTGTATGGTCGCCATTTCATAGAAAAGTATAAGAGTAAAGTATAAAGTATTAATTTTAATCGTAATTTTACAACTATATTTTACGTTAATTTATACCACTATTATTTAATAATTAAAATTTTGATTTGGCAATCCATCTTTTACTAATATGTTTTTTACCATTTTTAAAGGTTGAAAACATAACTATTTCTTGAAATTGTACATATATTTATTAATCAAGGTATTGTGAACCCAATTTAATAAATGTTCATATGGTACGTATAAACTCCATTAAAAGTTATCAACCATACTTACATTAATGTTCATTGTGAAAAACGATATATATGTAGGTTACCTTCCGCCACTCCACCATCTGAACACAAAACCAATGCTTTGAAAGAAGTAGCAAAGTGGAAGAAATTTATTCAAAGTTTAAGACATTCTTGCAGAAAGTGAACTGAAGAGGAAAAGACAGATGGAGTGTAATAAAGGCAAACCGAATAAGTTGGGGATTGAAACTTCTAGACGAGAGCAAGAAAATTGATGCCTTAAACTTCTCTTTCGTGCCGCACTTATAGGCTCAGATTTAGTATTAGGTATTCTTTATCGTCAACACTAGCATTATTACTAATTCTGTAATAGTATATTACGTTACTAGTCCTGAAAATAAGTGTTTGCCGGACGAGTGTGGTCGTTCCCGTGCGAGACGAAGTCGAGTACGGGATTACCATACGAGTCCGGTAAACACATTTTGGACGAGTGACGTACGATAGTTTACGCCATTCTACTAAATCTGTACAAATCCTTGTATATTACCACCAACTAAAGGACTAAATCACTAGTCAACCTCTAAGAGAGGTTATGTTTTTGTTTATAACTACTCATTGCCACCCAAATACAGTATAATCAGCTGATTGGTGTCCGGTAAAACTCATTGCAGTACAGTAGTACGCAATGAAACCCCATTTGATTAAGCTGGCGGCAAACAGCTGTTTTCTGGACTAAATCCTTGCGAGGGAAGTTCGTCAAAATAGTGTAGTGTGGCGTAAACTAAGTAGTGAATGGGATGTTAGTGTTAGCTCTGTCTAAACTAACAATCGTAATGTTTAACTAAATCTTACTAAATATTGTAGGTTTATTTTTTTATCATGTTTTAAATTTCTATATATGTAGTGTGTTTGTGCCTGTACACTATAATAAAGTACTTAGGGACGCATTAGGCAAGTAAGGAATAAACCTAATTATTTATTTAACGTAAGCAAGTTGTTATTATTTAAAGAGATCTCAACTAAAATTAATATATTTTTTAAACTGCTGCAAAATACATTCTACATACAGTAAAAATACCCTAAAACCAAATATAAATGCAACAGAGTTATCGATATGTTTGCCTCCTACTAGTAATTATAGCGTAAGAGTCGATTGTCAGTAAGTTATTTCTGTAAAACAACATAGCAACGTCTTTACCTAAACTCTTTCATTTATTAGAATAGGTGACAAACTTACAGTAGGAGTACACTTTTCTTAAACATTTATAATCCAAATTAGTGAAAGACCTTTTTCTTTTTCTTTGGCTATGTGTAAACCTATGATTTAACGACAAATTAGTGCTTGACTCCTTTCTAAAATCAACCACGTGGATGTCTGCTTAGACTACAGTAAATTGTAAACATGTTCTACCATTCCACACAATCTACTTGTTGAGTCTGGTGTTGAAGACAGCTTTATAAAACAGTTCCTAATACCAAAAGTCTTTTACAGTAAAGCTTTTAAGGAACAAAGGGATTGAAAATAGCCCCTTATTCACTATAGCCACTAAGGAAATATCCTACATTGTGTGCAACCTTTGCAATTTTTCACATGTTAGTCTTGGTCTATTTAACGTTTCTTTAACGTTCTTGTTAATGGATTATTCCTGTTCAAATACTACTAGGTGACTTAAAAATTTATTTTTAGCCGATCGGAATTTTTTCTCCTTCATTGGCCATGTAAACACCTACTATTTAACGACAAATTATTGCTTTACTCCTTTCTAGAAACACCCAATTGGGATTTTTTCACTTTTTATTATTTGACGTTTAAAAAGGGTATAATCAACAGCTCAAGTTAATTAGAAGAAACAACGGTCTTTCGCTAATTCTATTTGGATTATAAATATTAAAAGAGTTAACAGAATATGGCTTAAACTCGTTAAATGGCTTTTCAGATGTTAAAACTGTAATTTCAATCACTGATGTAGATGGTGGTTTTGAACTATCAGTAACTAAAACATATACAACTTCACCACTTAATGAAAATCAACCAAACTCCTTCAAATCAGAAAAATCAATACACTGATATATTCGCTCATCATTCCTACACATCACAAGTTTTCTCATGACGATCACAACTTAGAAGAAGATTAGTTAAGCATGTTCACAGCTTAATACATCAAACTGGTATGTTAGCTTACATAAAGAAACTTTTTATCATTATCTTACTTGTTTTTGTTTTTAATCTTCTTACTCACTTTTATTTACTTACTCTACGCATTTTTTCACTGTTAATCTGTGAAAATAATGGAGTTATATCTCCAAGAAGGTTTTCATAATTTACATAACAGGTAAGACCAGCTATGAATTTTTTTTAACGTGGTTGCTAATTAAAATTAAGAGGTGACCAAAGTGGGATAACACAGTTTTTATATTGTAAGGGTTATCAGAAAAGATAAAACTAAAATGGGGTTGTAAGTATATAAAAAGGATAATATTCTTAATAAAAAAATATTTTATTAAACTCATACATGATAGGGATTGAAGTTATATGATGGAGTGTATTTTAAGCTGACCACTTCAGCTGTAAGACAATTATTAAGCTCAAAAACATGGCATAGGAAAGAAGGGGAATTCGATAAAATCCTAGTTGAGTATATTTTAAGTCAAACGACTTAGTTTATGGCATGAACCATGACAACAATTGTTACGTTTATATTGTGTGAGAGGGAAGAGGGAAATCATTACGGCCACTAGTAATCACCAGTATTATCATGATAATGGTAAGGAAATAATGGTGATTAATTATTCCAACTGCAAATTGTCGTTGAGATGACTGAACAAAATAACCAAAACAATGGTCGTACAAGAATCATTCTTGAGCGCATGTGTATTACGCTAGCCACTCTAATAGAGAATATCTATAACATTTAATCTCAGAAAATTTTTGTTTATATTTTATTTTATTAAAATTATCGAAATGTGATGACTTAGCCACTTGAAAACTCGTATATTTGACTTCCTGGATGTAAAAGCAAACTGTTACATCAATATTCTGCAG